TGCACAAGCTACAAGTCTCAAGTGACAGAACCTCTGTCGTGTCTTACAGAGGTTCTGGAACTGGTCCTCTGAGAAGACAATGCTACAAGACTTAGTCGACAGAACCTCTGTCGTGTCTCACAGAGGTTCTGGAAGATTTCCTCTGCGTACTTCCAAGTTTCATCTAGCAGAGCCTCTGTGTTGTCTAACAGAAGGTCTGCAGCAATGTCTTCTGTGTAGATTATCCTTAAGCTGTTTTACTTAGGTCTTTTAGCTGCTTGTGCCTATCATGTGTTCTTGTCTGTAATTCTTTTTGATCGAATGGCTTAGATTAATTTGCTTTAGGTCATGTCAGAAAAAACGGTTACATGCCGGTATAAATAGCAGTATAGGCCTTTGTAATTCAGTGTGCTTCCAGAATTGTAATTGTCAATATTTTCATCTAATTGAAAATCCTTTGAAGCTTTCTCCTATGTTCATCATTCATCTTCATCGTGTTCTTATCGATTTCTACTTGTTTGATTTATTATCTTTTCCGCTGCACTATATCTGTCAAACCAATCATTCAAGTAAGTAATCTTTACCAAGAAATAGAGTTATTCGGTCATAACAACATGCAATCCATATAACAAGAATCTCAACCAAAAACAAGTGCAAAAATAGATTATACCTTACTTGATGATCAAATCCTTCAAAGATCTTGTAGTTCCTCTTTGCTTTGAGTTGAATCAAGCCTATGTGTGTGAAAATTGCACCTCTAGTGTGTGTGTGAGTTATGGACTTAAATGACAAGAGAAATGGGCCAAAACTCCAATTTATAATGCTAAAACTCGAGTTGGGCCGGGTTGGCCCGGCTAGGTATCCATTTTGACCATCAACACTTAAATTATTCATAACTTTTCGCTCGGACCTTCGTTTTCTATAGGGTTTTCGCCTACACATTCATAAAGAGATAATCTAAAACATCCAACAAAAATATTTCAGAAAATATCTCCCAAGAAAATCAGTTTTATGTATCTATTTGACGTAAAATTTTCCCAAATCCTCTAATATACTCCTAAGAAGTATAATTCTAAAATTTCAGAGCTAAACTCCCACTAAATCATAAGTTCTCTTTAACCCAATAATTAAATATACTAAGCAAATAATTGGGCATATTAAAAATTAGATGTTACAAGCGGCCCCACCCTGAAACAGAGGTTAAGTACAGACGATGCCTAGAAATGATAGTAACACGTGGGGCCTTCGAAATACCAAATCCCAGCTTAAGTCCAAGGCAGGATTAGCTTTCAAGCAGTTTTCAAGCATGACATGAATTTCAAGCCAGTCTGTTTCGCTTTAAATTTGGGGGTGTGATATGCATTGATTATTCAATGCATGAGGTATCCATTTCTTTGCATATTAGGTAGTTTGTTTTCTTTTATCCTAACCTTTAGTCATTTTTATTACTTTATTTTCCATTTGTTTATACTTGGAGCTAAATTGAGTGATTAACTTGTCTTTGCACCATTTGAGTAGCAATGATCTTAACTTGAAAGCACTATGTTCTATTCTGCAGCATTCCAGCAGCATTAAATTGTTATGAGGCGGCCTTTTGGGGAAGTGCTTATTGATTCAGCTGCCGCTTTAGGATGAAGACAAATTTCTGCTGATCGGTTGGCTAAAGACCACTACAGCTGGAGAAGGGATTTTTGGAGGTTACTTTTGCTTTTGTTCATGATGTGATACTCCCTTTTTGCTTTTGTCTACCTTTTAGAAGCATGGTAGTTTCTAATGCATTTGTCTTGTTGCTTAAGCCTTTTGTTTAAATAGGACCCTTGGTTTCTTTCATTAAATCATCCCACAGACTTTTAAGAATAAGATATGTAGTTATCATATATGCAAGTTAGTTCTTGAATTTTCTTTAAATATTGTTCTTCGTCATGAGTTGTTGCGGCATTGTTCTTACTTTATTTACTTTTCTTGTCATTTAATTATCTCCCTTTACATTCAGTCATTTACTTTCCGTCATTTATATTTATGTCTTTACTTTTTGTTCTTTATATTTCTTGTCATTTAATTTCTATAAAGAGTTGCTAATTCTGATAGCTTGGGTGTAAGATAAAAGGTGAAATGTTAAACCGAAGGAAAGTGGACATTGTTTTGCAATAACAATGTTCCACTATTTCATTCAAGTTTWTATAAAAACCAAGTACATTTCTTGACGAGTTGATCACTTTGAAAGTGTTAAAGTGACATGGTCTTAGAGATAAGTCATTGAATGCACGTCAACTTAAATGATATAAAAGGTAAACTTGAGAAAGTTACCGACAAGGATACTTGTCATTTATGTCTTTCAAATTAACTCCCGACAGATTGGTCACTCTTTAAAAGTGTCAAAGTGCGGTAGATTCAGAGATAAACTATCTAGAACACAYGCCAACTTGAATGATATGAKAATCGGCTCGAAAGAGTGATTTTTAACAAAGAAATATGTTTATCCATATATTTTGAAGACACCATTTTGTCACTATCCCTGGTCTGGATACCTCATAGAGATATGASTTGAAAGCTATAATATAGTGYAGAGATGAAGTCYRAGAGGAATACCTTCAAAATAGATGGTGGAACTAGTATTGGCTTACTGTATGATGTAGCATTCCTACAACATTGTCTACTGGAATTTTTGTTTGCATTTCACCAAAAGTCTTACGCTCATGCTACTCTTTATATTTTGTTATTTTATCATTGTTAACTCAGAATCTAACTGGAGTCTTCAATTTCATCATCTGAAATCATCTCTTTCATTGGACTCTTATTAAGTCTTTGCTACAATCTCCGTAGACGGTATTCAGTTTTTCTCACTTTATTACTTCAAAACAGGTGAGTTTCAACACTTGACAAGGATGTCGTTTTATGGTCACAATTGCATTAAATGTTGTTATCCAACTTTAATGCATGTCTTCATCTGATTTGTTGATCAATACATATGTGTACAGTTGTACTCTACATTTCAACATTTGATATTGATGTAGACGTTTGTTAACACAACACCTCCTTCTGTATGCATATGGAACAATAAAAGAAAGTATGATACTAATAAAATAGTATTTTAAAACTTACTTTTCTTACATGCCAAACATGTTCCTATATCAGGATAAGAGTTTGTAGAGTTAGTGACTCAAACTTGTTGGTTAAGTTTGTACTCATAAATTGCCTTGCCAAAAAATAGTATTTTCTTGTATTAATCTTCAATGGTCTAGATGAAGATGATTAAAATCCCCTAATGCAACTAGGAAGTTGATCATACTTTGAAAGGTTAATCTCATGGTAAATAATCAAGGTAAAATTCCATAAATTTCAATGTATGTTAGTTGTATTTATTTACACTATGGTTCGAACTAAAATTTTGGTTTATTACTGAAGGATTTAAGAATTTGAAGTATTGGTGATTAAACATTGAGGAATTGCTAGTTATAGAAGACAAACCAAGATAGGTACACCAAATTGTTGATTAAAGAAGTTGTAAATTAAATTGGAAACTTTTTTTGTGGTAGGGGAATAGTACGTAGTTGATTCATTATGGTTTTAGTAGCAAGAAATTGTTTTGAGTTATGCAGAGGAGTCATAGTATTTAGAGTTTGTTTAAAAAATGCATATAAATCATTAGTTGGTCTAAATGAGGTGTGTTATATATCGTTGGAAATCCCTACGTGTCTATTACAACTTTGTAGTTTACACTGAGACTTGAATTGGGCGAATTTCCAGAATTGGTTATGTGAAAAATGGGATTTGCTCACTATTTTTTAAAAAATCGTATAAAGTTGGTCGTTAGCACAAATTAGGTGAACTCATAACTATTAGAACCCTAAGCAATATATCTGTAACTTTTGTTTAGATACTAACACCTAAATTAACCTCTAAGTTCGATGAAAAGGCTTATAAAAAAGTTGGTACAAAGCTGTCAAGTGAAGGGGATTAAGTTGCATTACTTGTTTGTACTATATGCTTTAAGGACTTGTAACATTTGTAAATATTCAGGAACAATGTTAGGAGGTGTTTGGGATTGTTTATAAAAAACAACTTATTGACTTATTCCGGTGTGATATCGGTAATAAACACTTTTAAGTGTTTGAATAAACAGCTTATATCGGTGTAATAAGAAGTTTTTGAAGAAGTTAAATCATTCTAACTTATAATAAATTAATAAAAACTTTTATAAAAAATATAAGTTGTTTCAATTAAGCCGTGTATGATAAGCAAATGGAGATTATATAATTCATCTTTCTTCAAATAAAAACTTAAACCAACCTTTGAAGATGTGGTAGAAAATTCCTGACACTATGTATATTATAAAGATAAGATTTTAGTGGATATGATAAGCAAATGGAGACTATAAAAATCCTTTGTCTTAATTTGTTCAACCAGCGAACATGGCGGCAACCCTCCGTTTCTCTAATCAAGCACCAGAATTAGTGTATGTTCCCACTTATCACAACCATAAACCTGCAACCAATCACTCCTCCATCTCATTACCCTCTTCTTATTCATTYTGTAAATCGACACCAAGACTCTATTCTAGTTCTAGGGTTTATAATCGAGGAATCCTCAGAGCTTCTTCAGAAACAATGGCCACAGAGAAATTGGGAATTAAGATTGTTAAGAACCCTCCCGAATCTAAGCTCACTGACCTTGGCGTTAGATCTTGGCCCAAGTAATTCCTCTTTTCTCTCTCTCCATCTAATTAATGATTCTTCTTCTTATAATTTAGCTTTTTTGTTTGAAATTCTGTTGAAAATCTTYGAGAATCAGGTTAGTCGAATATTTGAGTTACTTTTGACCTACCTATGAATCAATTTGAGAGAGATTCTGAATCAATTTGAGAGATTCTAAAACTGGAACAGATATATATATATATATTGGATTTTAGCTATGAAGAAAATGTATAGTTGGTTCTTAATCATGCTGTTTTGATAAGTGTTATGTGGTTTCAAATCTTTAGGTTWCGAAGATTTGATACAAGTATTTCTGTACWACTATCAAGACTTGTTTATTGTTGCTAATKATATGCTTTTGATCTGTTTATTGTTGGTTTAATCCGTATCTTCATCTTTCGACCATTGCCATTATCAAGTATTATAACACCCCTCCTTTCTTCCAAAATCAACTTTGACTCAACCCCTCTTGCCAAATTTAGTGCAATGAATTTCATTTTTCTAGAGTTYGGTTTGGAATTACTCGATAAGTCATTAGTAATAATCGTTGTATCAGCACATTGATCTTATCGAGTAATTTACCTTACCGTGTGATCATGGCAAGGAATGGTTATCTTATCCAATGAGAGACATGACAACAACCAAGGTTGGTAAGTAAGGGAGACAGACTCTTACCTGGTTACGCTAAYGAACAAATCTATTTTGATGACCGACAATGTTATCCAACAAGGTAAGAGAGGATGGTGACTCTTGCCGTTAAGCACTTACCCGATTAGCATCTGGTAAGCGGCCCCTTAGTCTTATGTTATGTCAATATTGAAGGTGTGTTTGATACGCAGAGGGTTTTAGGGTTTTGATTTGAGAACGGTAGTTTAGTAATTTACCAATATTGTCTCATCTCCCAAATTTTTGGTCCACCTATTTTGGTGGGAGAAAAAAATGCCTTCTTGTTCCACTTAAGTCATTTGTCCCRGTCTAATGTTGCGCATAACGTRGATAACAAGTTCTTGTTACACCCCATCCTGTCATGTCCTGGAACTTATATTTTAGGATGGACATTGTGCCATTTTTTTCCTTGCTAAGACTGAAAATTAACATCATGGCACCATGGCATTAGTTRATGTGTATGCGAAGTTGTCCCAAACACTCACAGTTATATAAAAAAAGGTTTYGACCCCCTTTGTAAGTTTTTCTAGGGTTCTAAGTAGTTGTTCCATCATTCACTTGTTATGTTGAGCTTGTGGTATTCTTGTTACGGAAAACTGATGTGAARGTGTGTGGTGTGGGTACGGAATAGGTGGGGATGCCCGCCGAGCAAATTCCCATGGACATATTCGTCAAAAGAGACATGTTACCTTTTGAAAGGGAAGGTGAAGGTCTATCCCGAAGGCTCTGATGAAGGTGTCGAGATCGGGGTGGGCGACCTGGTCGAGTTCCCAAAGGGAATGAATTGCACTTGGGATGTTTCGGAAACGGTGGACAAGCATTACRACTTTGAGTAACATCTCATGCTAATGTTTCTATGACTCCGCTATGCAAGACATAAACTTGAATCTTATTCGTAGTTGTTAAATACTTGCCGAATAGAGAAGGTAAAAAGGCCACCGGAATTTCATTCTATTCGATTTGACATCAATCTCGATATAATTTTTTTTTAATAATGTTTTTTTACGTCAAATAGTATATATTAATATATGTGCAATATTCATTATAGATATTTGTACACGTTCGTATGTTTACAATAACTCTTTAATATTTATACTTAGTATGATATTTATCATGAATAGTTAGGTATTTTCACGTGTATTCAACAAATCTTCAGTATTCATACATCATTATGACATTCATCATCAATTTAYATCTTCATCATTAATATACAAATTATTCATCATGAATATTTATGTATCATTACGTGTATACAATAACTTTCTATTATTTATATTAGTATGATGTTTATCATAAGGGAAAAATCCAACCCAATGGATTTTAGTGTTTTGAATGATTAAGTTGTTGGATAATTTTTTGGAACAAATGAGTCATTGGACGTTCCAAAACATGTTAAATAACTCTTTGGACTTTTTAAAACCTGTTAGATATATTCTTATAACCTATACAACTGGTTAATGTGATAAAATAATGGAAAAAAATCAATGAACTTTCATATTATGAACGATTAAGTCCCKGAACATTTTTTGAACCAAAAAGTATTTATATCTATAAAATAAAATAAATATAACAAAAAAAATACTTACATTTATAAAAAATTTAATGATGAAATTTATTTTAATTAAAAATAAAATATATTTTGTCAGTGATTTTTCAAATTAAAGATTATAAAAAAGATTTATAAAAGATTACTGATTAAATTTATTTTAATTAAAAATAAAATATATTTCATATGTGATTTTCTAAATTAAAAAAAAAATTAAAGATTTAAAAATGATTACTGATGAAATTTATTTTAATTAAAATTAAAATATATTTCGTTGGTGATTTTATAAATTAAAAAAAATAAAAAAATAATTTGATTAAATTACTGACGGATTAACGATAAAATTTAACTAAATACATAATTAATTAAAATTTGTCGTTAATTAGTTGGTGAAATGATATCGCCGACTAGATTCAAACACGATCTTTCACACTTATTAACATGTTAAAGCGCTTGATGAGAATCAAGTTAACCATCAATTGGATATAAGTAATCTATGCATATGTCAAAGGGTTTTTGGCCTCCTAGGAGGTCAGTGTTCAAATCTCATCAAATGTGAGGAGGGAGTGCGAGTCTATTTGTTGTATTTGTCGTATATAAATACTATGTACTTAAAAAAACACTAACGATTAATTTTAATTAAGTATGTATTTAATTAAATTTTATCGTTAATTCTTTAGTAATTTAATCAAATTGTTTTCTACTTTTTGAATTTTGGAAAAGCACCAACATAATATATTTGATTTTTAATTAAAATAAATTTCATCATTAATCTTTTTTAAATCTTTTTTTATTTTTTTTTTGAAAAATCATATATATAACATATTTTATTTTTAATTAAAATAAA